TGTAGAGAAATTTTATGTCTCATTGGAAAAATATATAGTGGACTTTTGTGAGTTATTAATTTCTAATCTTTTTTGGAATCTTTTGTTATCCATCTGTAATCTGGACTGGATCCTGCAACTTTATATATTTTTTCTGTTGTATCTTCTTCCAGTAGCTGGCTGTAATTCTTCACCTAACATTTCCAATACTTTTGCCTACCTTCCTGACTTGGCAATTATTGACAACTAAGACTTTCGTTTAGCCCTGGTATCTTCGGGAGCTGAAGTGACACAATCTGGTATACTTCATTATACCTTTCATGTTTGGGGCAACTTTTATGGATACTGCTATTTGAGCCTCTTGGACAAGAATACCAGTCACCAAGGAAACATAAAGTGTAAAAGTTCTTTGTTCTGATACCTAGAAGTCTTGACTAGCTTGCCTCTAAACTTAGAAATGGGGCATAATATTAGAAACTGGATTCATAGTCTGTTCCGACTACTAATCTCATGTATGTGTGTGTGTGTGCGCGCGCGCGCGCGCGTTTTCATAGAAATTCCCCTCATTAATGCCTGGCTGCTTGCATCATCAATCAGATAAGCTCTTTTTACAGAGTTACAATAGATAAGTTAACTGAACAAAAGGTAACTTCAAAGAAGAGAGTATCTGTTCTTCCCAGGAAAAAGAGAAATTAATAGACTTGTCTCCTTAATTTACCTTTACTCAGGTTCCCTAAGCCTCTTTCTTACGTAGTCCCAGCCCTTTGCCAGACTTGCATTGCTAGTTTTAGCAATAATGTAGCTAAGTCAGTTTATATAGAGTCCCTCACCTTTAATGTCCAACACCCTTCATCCAGGCGATAAGTGATCACCTGGCCAGCCTTCAGAGAGAATCTCATTAAAGCTGTTTAACTAGGGCACCCCTTATCCTTGATGTTCCCTTTTAGCAATTTTTCATCCACTGATCCCCATTCTGCTCCAGGTCTATAATCTTTGCTTGTTTTTGTATTCTAAATTGACATCAGCTATACACTTAAGTCTCTTTTTCTATATTGTGACAGTTCTGAATAAAATCTGTTTTACTGCTTCAACTACTGTCACGTTCTGGTTTACTTTGATAATAGTATAGTCTGTAAGAACAATTACTATCTATCATGTGTGTACACTGACAGACATTTCAGTTGCATTTAAGTAAATCAGTGATGCAAAATTTGAATCAGTGCTTTGTGTACATATAGAATGTTCCCGAGGAATAAATACCTGACAACTTTTTGTTCTGAAAAATCAGGATATGGAAGAGATTTATTGAGATCAATGCTGATAAAATATAGTTGTATAAAATGGAAAGCACAGCATTGCCATGCAAATAAGAGGTGATTTCTAAATAGTAATTTACTTTATAGACACAGAGAGCAGTCTGTGGTTAGAAATACTTTATGCCTTTTGATTATTAAAAAAAGTTAAGTAATTATTGGTATTCTGAATTATAATTATTAATATTATTGACTACAGCATTAATTATTATATGCTTTTTTGGCATATTATTTGAGGAATTGAGGTATATTATGTCTAGCTACTGAGGCAAAAATATTCATGTAGATTTAAAATTTTTTTAATTTTTGATTTTTTTTATTTTAAAGAGAATAAAACAAAACAAAACAGAAAAAAATAGATCAGAACAAAAGAATGCAGGCAACACAGGACTTCAAAACAAGACAACAGGAAATCAACAGTGGCTATCATAATGTTTCTTGTTTTCTTCAAATAGTTGTCCATATCTTCACACAATAATGAATTCAAATAAAACAAAATAGTATAAAACTGATCAAAACAGAATGAAAGCATTATGGGTCTTCAAAACCAGACAATAGAAAAATCAACAATGGCTACCATAATGTCTCATTTTCTTCAAAATAGGTGTCCCTACCTTCACACATATTGAAATAAAAAAATAGAAAATAGACTAAAACCAATCAAAACAAAGTCTAAAAACATTATTGGGTTTCAAAACAAGAAGACAGAAAATCAACAGTGGCTTCCATGATGTCTCATTTTCTTCAATGTAGCTGTTCATACCATCACACACAATAAAATCAGTTCTTGTAAACTCTTTAGAAGAATTTCTAGGCATGTATAAGCCTATACATGTACATCTGTCCTTTTTGTATTATAGGGGAAAGCGAAACAAAACAAAGCAAAGTATAAGAAAAACAAACCTGTCAAGTATGAAGGAGTCAGTATTTTACATAGTGAAGTATGGAGCGAATACATTATTGGTCTAAACTGTGCTGTTTAATCTGTTAATTTGGCAGAACTAGGATCTGGACAGTTTGGGAGTGGCCTGCTCTTTACCACTACCTCATAGAGGAAAATAGTAATCTAGGAGCTCCTGAGGTGGTAAACTCAACTATAGATGTTTTGTTTGTTGCAGTATTCTAAAATCTTTCTCTATTTTTTTTTTAGCAATTTGAATTTTTATTTGACAGGATAGCTTCAAATGCTGCAATATAAGCTTTTAAAGTTCTCATAATTATTTGGATTTATTTTATCCTCACTTTGCATGCCTATCTTTTAAAGGTACTTTTGAGTTAATTCCAGGTTGGATGGAAGAGTACACTAGGCAGAGGAAAGAGTGAGCACAAACTCTAGGATGAGATTGTACTTGGGATCTGGGAGGAATCTTGAGGAAGTGGTGTGGAGTGACAAACAGGAACTGAAAGTCTGTCTGTCAGGGGCTCAGGTCTTTTAGACTTGCTGGGGATTGCTACAGTGTTAGGTTCTTTGTATTCCAAACCAAGAATTGAGCAGGAAATTCAGAAGCAGAAGTAAAAGCATGGATTTATTAACAGAAATCAAAGTTGAGCACACTGCTCAAAGTGGGAATAGGCCAGTGAGATGAGCTCATGATCTCCAAAGAGTTTGGTGTCAGGGTCTATGTAGGGTTCATTGATATAGGGGAATGAAACTCCCGACCTATTATAGTATGAGCTCGTGTCCTCTAAAATAGAAGAATGAATTTTAGGAACAACGGAGGTGAAGAGCAGAATACATTTATTTAAAGAAAGTAAGCTTCTGTCTGAAGAGAGACAGAAGAGGTCCCTACAAGTTGTCAAGGACTCTGTCTTTTCTAGGGCCTTTTATAGAGTAAAACCATGGGTTCAAGATGGGGGAGACTGGGAGTTCACAAGGCAGATGGACGTAAGGTGGGACATAGCTATAGTTTTTTTTTTAAAGAGTAATAGGTATCACAGTATATTTTGTTATCTTTACAATAGTTGTTCTTTCAATCACATATATCAAAATAAAATGAAATACAGAACATTATAGAACTTATCCAAACAGAATATTGAATAGAGCAGTGCCATTAATCAGAATAAAGCAAAACAGTAATAAAAATATTTGCCTTCAAAGAGATGGTAGAAGGAAATACCCCGTATTTGCTATGGTTAGCCTCCCAAGAGATGCTAACAGGGGGACGGGAAGCAGGGCCAGGGGAAGTGGGATGTTTGACTCTAGACCATACACCGGCAGGCTCACTATTGCTTAGCCAGGAGGCAGGCTGGTTGCTTCGTTTCCCAGCGTCCTAAGTTCCAACATGCCATGGATCTCAGGAGACACTGGTGTTTCTCCCTCTGGAGGGGCCACAGTCTGCTGCACCACAGCCACTTACCAGAGAGGTGAGCTGCTGGCTGGGTTTCTCAGTGTCCTAAGTTCCAACATGGTATGGATCTCAGGGGACACTGGTGGTTCTTCCCCAGGGGCACCATAGCCTATTTTTTAAAAAAATATACAATTTCTTCACAGTATTCTCTTCTTCCTTGTTACTACTACTGCCAGTGAATATTTTGATGAGAATCCTTTGAGGAGAGACGTAGTTGCTAAGGAGAGAATTCTTTGTAGGCAGAGATGAGTTTAATGGCCGTAGGTTATTTCCTTACTCCTGGGCAATTTTTTATTTGGCTGTTGGGACTCAACGATGATTCAATTGTATTATGACTTATTACTTCTCCCAGATACCTAGCATTGCATGCTTATCTAAGAGTGTCTTACTGAGTGAATAGCATTTTCTTCTATGAAAGACTCATACCAGTCATAAATACTTTTAAAACTTGAAGTGTATAAATCTGCTTTAGTAAAGTATATTAAAAAGTATTTTATGCAGAGGAATTTTTGTTTAATCAAGGTTCATTTAATTGGCTGGTTCTAGGGCAGGGTGGCATATGGTAGAAGGGAAACAGTTATGACCTTGGAAGACAGCAAAAGCCAGAGAGAAACAGAAAGACAGAGAGACAGACAGAGCAAGACAGAGACAGAGAGAGAGAGAGAGACAGACAGACAGAGAGAGAGACAGAGAGATACAGAGACAGAGACAATTGCAGAGCAATTTATCTTAAAGCTTTGATTTCATACTTTTTGTTTAATAGTTTGTCTTAACATTACTATTTGTTAAATGTCAATTCAGATTTATGGAATTACTCTAAAACATTTAAAAATCTATCATGTCACAGAATGCCATGTTTTATCTTGTTTTGATTGTGTGATGGATAGGGCTATTTTACTTTTTTATCTAGCACTGCCCTTTTATAGTAAAAGATTAAGTGTAACTTGATAAGAAAGTTTCAGATATTCAAATATTCTTGAAATGTCTGAAGCTATTCAGGTTGTTACTTAGAAGTAGCAAAGAGCAGAGCTTAAATGTTTTTGTGCTCAAGTAATTGTTTTTCTCACAGATGGATTTTAAATACTTGGAAAAAAAACAGAAAAAAAGGTCCTTTACTGTGAAAATTTAATTTGTTTTTTCAGTTGCACATCTTATTTCCTTGTCAATGCAGTAGTATATAACTTTATTTTAAAATGGATACTTTCATAATATTAATAAATGTTGAATAACTTGTACAGGGTACTTACACACTTGTTTCTGCTTCCATTTTTTATAACAGTGTGAATCATACTGATTGTTATAGTTGGTTTGATTAGAAAGTTAAATTAGTAATGTTAATATGTATTCCTTTTCATTACAGAGGAAAATACTCAGGAAACATCAGAAGTGAAGCGAAGTTTGAGTGAAAAAGTTTCTCTCTATAGAGGTGACATCACATTGCTAGAGGTAGATGCTATAGTCAATGCGGGTGAGTAGTTCATTTTTCTGTGATGGATTTTGTTATGAATATTGCTTCAAAATACTTGGAAGCAGTTTTCATTTTCATTATGGCAACCATTTTAAAATAATTTGTTATTATTTTAAAATTAATTGCCTAGTTTTCTTATTTGAATATTGGGAAATAGATATCATTTATGGTGGTTTGTACTTCCTATGTATTTCATTATGTGGCTGTATATCAAGAAAGATGTAAGTTGTGATTCTACTTTAAAGAGTCAATATGAAGATGTTAATGGTTTAATTTGTGTTTTGTAAAGTATTTCAGGATGAAGGTATAAAGTTAAATATGGAAAGGATTTACAAAGATTTAGAAGCAAGAGGGCATAGTGGGCAGAAGAATATTTCAGTAGAGAGAACTATTTTACCATAAGCTCATTAACTATCTCAAAGATTAATCAGAAAAGAGCTTTTTCCTTTATAGCGAGGAATAAATGAGGCTAGGAAAGAGTGTGTGGAGGAATGGGACGAGGGACTGGCTCATATAGACAATCGAGCAAGGAATATTCTTACTTGAGGTCAGTTGATTCATGGAAGGAGCCATTAAAGTCAGGTTGTTTACCTTCCATTGTTAAATTTGGTGTTTGGAGGAAGGAGAGAAGCACCATTAATATTTGGTCCAGTCCAGTTTTTAGGCATTAGTTAACCAGAATGGTAGAGAGGAACACATAATTTAGCCAGTCATGTATGACATGAAGAATGGGAATTTGGAGGCTCTGGATCTGGCTTTGTGGTGGGTTACAAGATTGTCATGCATCATGAGTTTTGTCTAAGTTAAGAAGAATAGTTCTTTGCGGTAAGCCACAGGACAAGTATAATTTGCTGTTATTGTTTTCTAGGAGTTCACAATTCAGATGAAGTACAATATTGTCTCAAGTTTTCCTCTGGTGATGAGTAAATTCACACATTGTATACAAAATACCTTGGTTTGGTGGATGAAAAGAAAGTTGTAATGAAAGCTGGAACACTGTTCAGCACTTAACACAGCTCTGGGAACCTAAAGGAAGGCTGAAAACCAAGTTAGCTTGTTCTTCCCTCAGTTGCTTTGTCAATTACTTTGTATAGAGCTACTTTGTCATAGTCAGGGTTCAGTTCTTCTCTTTTTCTTCTGATGCCTTGATACTTCTCTCTTTTGCTTATCTAAAGTGTAAAATTCTTTGTAAGAGGGGCCTGAGTCATTTTGGATAGAATTTGATGCTTAGGTCAACTCATAGGTGCTAAAGGTTTTCCTTATATCTAGTATCTGTGGGCTGTTCATTTGTGCTCTGAGTATGAAGATCTTTCTTCTGACCTGTGGGGGCTCAAGGGAAGACACAACCTTGAAAAGGGCCTCATAGACACCTCTCTAATACGATTTTAGTCGGATATTCCCGAAATTAAAAAAGTTGTCAGTGATTTATTATGCTTAGAATTCTATAAGTATTATGCTTAGAATTCTATATAAGCTTTAATTTAAAACTATTTGAAAGACTCTTTCCTCCCCCCACCCGCAATATGTAGCCCCTTCTTCCCTTTTTATGTTCTTGTAATTTCTGGTCATTTACCCTAGTTTTGTCCTAAGGAGTACAATTAATAGCATCTCCCTGTTTTTGAAATATTTAAGACCATTCTCAAGTTTTATTTTTTCTTCTTGTTAATGTAACATGGAACTTGCCATGTTAGTACACTTAATTTCAAAAATAATGATTGTTCTTGAATTTGTTAACTATGTACCTTGAAGCACAGAATAACACCTTTTTCACTTCACTTTGCTTTCCCAAATTATTGTCTAGACCTGATATTTTTAAAAGTATTTGATACTGTGTATCTGTTAAATTGAACTACATGCAATTGAATTTGTAGTGCTTATGATCAATGGCACATTTAGCATTGGGACTTCACACAATACACAAATATGGCTCTGGATTTAAAATTTATTTATTTGATCAATAAAAATATTTTGGAGTAGTTTTTATTGAAATAAAATGATGCCACACAAAAACATTATTATTTTTAAAAACACTGTTAACTATTTTATAACTACTTCAGATTGTTTTCATATTTTATTTTGGTCTCATATATAATTTTTTTTATTTAAAGAAAAGGAAACAAAAAACATGGAGATAAAAAAGGGTAGAAATAATACAAAATTACAGAAAAATAAATGGTAAGAAATTGCTAGTTGATAAGTTACATATTGTCATCTTAGAAATAGCTGTTGAGGTTACAAAATTAAAGTATGTAAAATGACATTCAAAAAGTGACACTGCAAACAGTTCTGCTCAATGATCGAACAAAAACTCAGTAATATGGTTATCAGTCCTACACACTTGTTTTATATCTCAAAGAGGGTAAGATTAAACATATCAAAACAGAACAAAACAGTTAAAAAAACAATTTAAAGAAATACAGATTTCAAAGCAAGTCCACTGGAGATCCTCACTGTCTATCTAACTGTCTCTAGTTTCTTACAAATAGTTGTCCCCATCTTCACATGCATTAAATACATATTGCATATTATAGAAATAATCAAATCATTACAGGATGATGAAGGCTTTTTAGGTCTTCAAGATCTAATATTGGGGAAGACAATAATAACTACCATCGCATCTCTCATTCTCTTCGTAGTAGCTGTCCTTATCTTTACATATGCTGAAATTGAACTTAAGAGACTAGACTAATATCATTCTGATCAGTAAATAATAGTATTGCTAGAATTTATATCATAATGCTACAAAATTAGCATTGGGTTTCTTAGTGTCTCTTCTTCAGAGTATCTGTTCATTACATCTTGCTTTATATAATCTGTTCCTGTAAGTAATTTTTAAAAAAATCTCATGTGTGAATTTCTACATATATATCTATCCTCTCTCTTATTATAGGGAAAAACAAATCATAACAAGACAGCAAAACAAATTCCTAGAAAAACATGCAATGGATAAGACATATAAGGCCACAATATAGGTGATTTTCCGTAGTTACTATGTTTTCTCTTGTTATTTTCAATAGATTTGTCCACATCATCGGCTTAATATAGTTAAACATAGTATTACCTATTTTTATAAAAACACAACTTTGAAAGCATTGTAGGACTTGAGAGCTGTTAATAATTAATACCAGTATGGATATCTTTTACATCTTGTCATCTTCAGAGTAGTTGCCTCTACTTTTAGGGTTGAAACTAACAAGCATACCAAATTCAAATAAAATCAGCCAAGGCAAAACCGTGGTCTTATGAATTGGATTCAATTAAGATCAGTCATAGTAAGACAATGTAAGTAATACAGGATTTCAGTTTAAGTAAATAGGAAAGTACAGATAGTTATCATGGTATAGCCTGCTATTTTTGGGTCAGATGTCTGTGCCCTCAAATCTGACATGAGTGGACAGACCAGAACAAATTAATGATCTGGCCTGCGGATCAATCCGTGGGGTGTACCTGGAGGGGGGACGGGGATTAAAAAAAGACATGGGGGAGACAGAAAGAGAGACTGAGGCAAGTTGAGAGAGTCCAATCAAGCCTCATTTATTCTGGAAGTGATTACATCTTTTATAGGCCAAGGGCGGGCTGGTGGGACAGGAAAAGGCTATGGGGATGAATACAACAGGGTCATTGTCACATCCAGGTATGTGACATAAGCAGGAGAGGATTATGGTTAATGTAGGCAGACACATTGTGCCCATAGGAGAGAGAGAGAAGCAGGGAGGCAGCAATGGGGCTGTTGCGTGGCTCCCTACATCTCCTTCCTTTCTATATTATTTAATCAGGAGTATGGCAGGCTCTGTGAAGACAGCATCTGTCTTAGGTCAAGGACCCAACCAGGCCTTACCCGTCATGGGCTTACAGGGCAGCAGTTGGTCCTGTGCCTGTCTTAGGTGACTGATGGAGTTAACATGCAAGTCCTAGTTGCCTGTCTCTGACTGCCTGTCCATTGCCCCAGGGCAGTTAGGCCACATTGTCATATGGACCATTTGTGGGAATTCTTTCGCGGTAGGTTTGTTGATCTGCCATTTCCAGCTGATGATAGTGTAAATGAATGGGCTTTGCCATAAACGCGTCTATCCGGTTATTAATGAGCATCATAATCCTCTGAAAAATACAAGGACTCACAGAAAGGAGAAGCAATAGGCCAGCTAGGGGACCCAAAAGGGGCACTAGGTAAGGGAAAAGCTCCCCCCCCCATACACATTGAGGAGAAGGGGTTGGCAGCCATTTGTTGTTGTCGCTGTTGAAGTCGTTCTTCTATTTCTTGGAGCTTGCCTCACATAACACCGGACGCAGTCTATTTGGCTGGTTTATGTTCCTCCAGACCGAGAACAGCCTCCTCCGCAGTCACAGGGGGTTGTATGCATGGCTGTCAGCAGTTGTAGTCTGTTTGGCAGGGGTCTAAATCTACCATGGGTGTGGTAGGGCTCAAGGAGAAGGCTGAGTAGGCAGCATAGGGCTCTGGGGAGTTGTGTCATCTGTAAGAGAACACAGGGGATTGTGCCTCAGGAAATAACATTATTCCTGGGTGTTGCATGGGGTCTTTGAAGAACTGACTGTTTGTTTTACAAGGTGCTCAGGTAGCCATCTAGCCTCTCTGTCTTGTTGAGAGTATACACATACTGAGCTATGTCTCCATATGAGAACAGGGTCAGGGCCATGCCATGAATTAGTCAGGGAGGTCTCTCCATAGTACAGAAACAAATTGCTTTTGTGCTTCAGAATGCCAAAAACACGTGGCTGCTGACTGTCCAGCAGCATCCAAATTTAAAAAATTAAGGATGAATAAGGCATGAGATAGAATATTTTTAGGTGTCCTCCTTGTGGAGTACCATTCCCCCCTTTTTTATTTCATCAACAGTGAATTTTAGGGAGAGATGTGCCCTTTTAACTATGCGTTGACCTTGAGGGTTATAAGGTATGCCTTTTATATGATCAATATTAAGATGTTGACAGGAATGAGCAAAGGCAGAACTAGCATAGCCTGGACCATTATCAGTCTTTAA